GTAAAAAATACCTATTGTCAAAGGGACTGTGCATCTCCATCACGAAATGAAAACAGCCAATAAACTGACCAGACGTGAGGAATCTGGGACTTACTAGATGCAGGCATAAAATAAACGGGTTTGGAATAATTTTTTGTGCATCCTGATTTGATAACTATATTACTAATGCACTTGATGAATACTGAGCAAAGCAACAAAAATCAGTGTGAGATGAAAGGCCAAATACTTTTGAAAACAGAAAAGGAACGACACACCACACGCCCCTCAGCTAGATGCTGACTAAGGCTGTCTGCAACTATCCGAGGGTGGAACCTGACTGGAAAGTAGTTACTTACAGTACTAAGTAGGCCTTAGGTAGATACTAATAAGGTTAATTTGGGGTTTACACTTCCTGCAGCAGTGCAGAGACTTGTAAGTCAGCCCAGGCCTAGGTGCAACCTGGTCACACCTCTATGGCAGAGCTGGGCAACAGGGTAAGTGAGCTGGTGTGCCCGGACCCCTTCCAGGAAAGGGGCTGGCTCACACCTACCTCTGCCTGTAGCTACCACACTACAGCGTTTCCATTCTCCAAGAAATAGACGAAGAAAAACTTCCCCTTATGATAATACTGTATTTTACTATTATTCCTAGAATGATGTTCACCAGGTCTAACTTGTGCTTAAATTTGTTGGTCTCTTCAGGCTCTTTCTGCATAGCTACAGAAGGAGAGAGAGACTTCTCCAGGAGCGGGCTCAGAGGAGCTCCCTCACACTTCTGTTCTGGGTGAGCAGCCCTGCTTTCACCACCTACACAAGGAACCTGGGGAAATGCATTTCACTAGACTAAAAGTAAATGACAGAGGGGACTTTTTCACCTCTAAATTTAAGTTAGGATTCAGTGTTGAGCCCAAAGGGTTTGTTTTTTTAAATCTATTGGGGAAAGTATCTAAAGAAAGAAACAAGTACATTGATCATACTTCCAGGCACATCAAACACTGTCATTAGGAATGTGCAAAGTCAAAGGACGCAAATCAGTCTCCATGGATTTATCATAAAATTTTTCTCTTATACTTTTCAAGCACAAAATTAATTGCACACATCCTCAGCTGAAAAGCTGACATTTCTCAAGCCTAGCTATTTTTATGCAGAAGAAGACAAGAATAAGTAAACTATTTTTGCTTGGCTTTCGCACTTTCTGCATGTAGGGCTGCAGTTTATAGCAGCTTTTGTTATAAAATAAAGCTTTTGTTACTTTAAAACAGAAATACTTGATTGTTACCCAGGAAAATGTAAGTACATCAGTTTCTCTAGTTATAATGTATATTTCCTTCTCTCTCTCAGGAAGCTGTTTTTTTTCAAGTATCTCCAGCTAAAACCTTAATAATCAGAAATCCCTTTCCTCTGTCTTTCACTACAAAATCCAGTGGCCACTGGCAACACAGGACTGTAGAGGAGTTCACACAGAAAGTACAGGCAGTGTATATCCAAATGAAATAATCTCTTCCGA